CACTTGCATGGTTTTTTTACGGGGCCCACCGCAAATTTTTTAAGTCCTCTCGGGAGCCCCGGGAGCCTTCGGGCTGCTTAGGGAAGCCCATGCCGGCGGTCCGGGCCTGCAGGCCTCTCCGTGGAACTTTCTATACGTTCGTCTGTCCCTTTCCCGGCAGCCACCTGGAAACACGTCTCAAGTTCCCCTTCTGCTGCCGGGCTCCCGTCCTGCGGGCGGGGGACTTCGAGGTGGACGCCCCGGGCCGAGAGGCGCGGTCCGCGTTGGGGCGGGAGAATCTCGGACGCCCGGGCCGCAGGCAGTGCGCCCTCGCCGGCCGGCGATGCAGAGCCGTCCCGCTGACGTTCGCGCCGGTTGTCGAGCGCCACCGGGTGGCCGCTCTTAGGCTTTCTTCCCTCCGGAGCTCCGGCGAAATCGACAAGGGACGGGATTTGGCCGTGGTACCCGAGGCAGAGTTCCAGGAGGCCGGCGGCGCTGGCGGGATCGTCCCGCTCTCGCCGGCGCGTCGCCGCCCCCCCTTCGCTGGAGATTGGATACGCAGGTCTCCCGCGTGTTGGCCACAGCCGCAGGGAAGGGGGAGCTCGTGGGGCCGCCCAGGGGATTCGATGAGCATCCGCTTGGTGTTTCTCAGTCCGCGGGAGCTGATTGTGACTCCGCGGGGGCAACGAAGTGCGGGCGGCTCCGCAGGTGGGAGACCGGCCCGGAACGTGCGCGGAGGCCGGGGGAAGAAGGTGCCAGAGATCTGGCTGCGGCTCCTCGTGGCGTCCGGTGGTCGGAGGCGCCTCCGCGGAAGGTCTTTCAAGGTCCAACACATACACGCGGGTGGTCCCGGCCCTAGAGCCCGCACGGGTGGCCGGGGAGGGCGGACGTCGGCGGTGCACGTTCCAGTTCGGGGTCCTATGTTACGCTCGATCTTTCGCGGCGTTACTTCAGAAGTGACCCTCGGAACGGAGCGTGTGCGGTGACCGCGATGAAGGGCCCAGGGCCTGCCCACAGATCCGCGTGGGGTCTGGTGGTGGTTCCACGGTTTTTTCCGAGCCTCCATCTGGAGTTTGAGGGCGGCCAACAGGAGAGAGACCGGCGAGGGAAAAGTCCCGTGTCCTCCGGCCTTGCTGCCGACCTGGGGCCGCGCTCCAGGGCGTCGGGTTCCAGAGCAACTGTGCGGGTTCCTCCGCGTCCATTCTCGGCGGCGGCCTTGCGTGCGGGCAAGGACGCGTCCCTCGACGTATACCGTGTGATTATCAGAAGGCGGGTCGGGTGCCGTCTCGGGTCCTCACTTCGTCCTTGGGAGACGCCGGCCTCGCCGGGGGACTTTGCCCGGCGCTCTGTGCCTGGCTTCTGAGCCGCCATCGGGGGCGGGGGCGTCCTCGGCGTCCGCGCCGCTCCGCGCCGGTGTGTACAGTACGAGTGCGAGAAACCGTAGTCCGGTTCCTTTAGATGCTTCTCCCTTGGGAGGAGCAGTTTTCAACGCTACATATGCTCGGGGAATGGAGGCTTCCTTAAGGGGGGGGGCGCGCACAGTAGATCAGCGTCAGCCCCGAAAGGGGCTTGGCTACCTTTTTTTTTTTTAGGTGTGCGCCTCTGGGTTTGGGTTGATGGGACCTCAAGGTGGCCACACACACCCCCGAGGTGGTTGATCATTTATTTGAATGTTTGCCCCTGTTGTGTTGTGTGTTCTGGTGGGTGGGTTATTGTGATTCTGGAGAGATCGTCACGAGTGACCGGGGAATCTGGATCCGATTGCGGAGGGGGGGGTGGGAGAGCCCGAGAAACGAGCACCACATCCAAGGATCGCAGCCGGGGGCTCCAGTACCTCACTCTTGGCCGCAGACAAGGGTGAGACTGAGGTCCCTGTTCTCGGAAGGGGGGGTGCACTTTATTGGATCCCCTTCAGTTTTGAGGACACCCAGCGGGCGAGTCTGGGGCCAGCAGCCGTGGGGATGGCAGCTCCGGTGGCGTGTGCTGTCGAGGAGGACCACCAGTTCGTAGTTCGTTGGAGTATGTTGGGTTTGGGGGGTCGATGGCGGGAGGTGGTAACTGCTGTCCCCACCCCTTGCCGCCCACCAACTGAGTGTCCTTGTTGGCACCCTGAGGGGCAATTTCTTTAGGATCTTGTTCCAGGCCGGCCCAGGATCCTGCAGCCAGGTACCCGTGGACTGTGGGACTGTGGTTTTCTGTGTGGGTGGTTTTTCTGGACCTTGAGGTGCTTGGGGGGCTTTGGGTGGAGTGGGGGCTGTCGGGGGGTGGTGGGGGGGCTTTTTTCGGTTCTTGGATGTGGTTGAGGACAGGCTGGAGCCCCCAGAGCGTTTGTTGCCTTTAGAAGGTTTCTGGAGAAGGGGGAAGTTGGTTTGGTGGTTGCAAGAGGAAGTCCTGTCATATAGCTATGTCCTATGGTGGTTTGGGGCGGTATGGTATGTCCACGAAGAGTTGGGAAGAGGCCGGTCCTTCTCGGCCACACGTTCTCCCCCCCAGGCCGGGGGTGTCGCCGATGAGCCCGCGGGCACTGTGAGCTTCCTGGGGAGGTGGGGCCTTTGAGCCTCTTGTGTTGGTTATCTGAGCTCGGAGGCTCTATCGTCCAGTCTTTGGGACCCCTGCAGTTTTGGGTCTCTGTTGGCGGCCCTTTCTGAGGGATGGGCTGGGGGTCTTTCCACCAGGGGACCCTTCCACCGATTAGCGCATTGCTGATTAGTGGTGTGGTGAGCCGGCTTGGAGCAGTGGGGTTTAATGAGTTGCGGGACACGTTGGTCATTGACCCTTTGAACCCGTTCCCGGCCCCGTTACCTCCGCAGGGTGCGTGCTTGGGGTTCCCTTGGAGAGGGGCTCATGCTGTCCCCCTCCCCTGGTGGAGAAGACTTGCTCAGAGGCCGAGTCGTGCGTGGGGGCCGTGCCCAGGGTCTGGGCACCCCGGCAATGAGCGGCCCGCGGAGGTGGTGTTTCCCCTGCTTTTGCCCCTCGGCTGGTGGTCGGTACGCGTGGCTGACGCGTGGAGAGATGTACGGGCGGGAGGCCGGTGGTCTGGCTCCATGCCCCCGGGTGGCAGCGTCCACTTTCCCCGCAGGCCTTCACTGTCCGGCCCCCCGTGGCCGTCTCCATGTGTCTCTCCCCCCCCCCCCGCCTGTGTATGGGGCGGATGAAAATGGGCGCCAAGGCTGTGGCCTCCTGCGGGGGGAGCTGTCTGCACTGCTTGGCCAGGTGATCACCGTGGCCCGGCGTCCGATCGGACGTGGTAAATCGCAGTGCGTTTGAGGCAGGACGGTGCTTCCTGTCTATGCCGACGCATGAACAGGGGGGAGGGGTCTGCCGCTGTGAATGCCTGCCCTTCGGTGGGGCGCGTCGGGGGAGGCCCGGGCCCCGGGCCGCTGGATGCAGCCTCAAGCGCCTGGTGTGTGTAGGGGTCCATCCAAGGCTTAATGTTTGCGGGAAGGGAAACCGAGGGGGGAGGGGTTCTGTGCGTGAAGCGCTTCAGAGGTAAGCGCGAGCCCGCAAAGCCCGCCCCGGTGATATTCTTCCCGCCCAGGGCGTCGGGCAGGCAGGGGAGCCCCGGGCGTTCCCCCGCCCCGGTGGTGCTTGCTGCTCCACGAGGGGCGCGCCAGCGGCCATGGGGGCGGGGGGTGGCCGGTGTCCTGGGTGCTTGGGTCTTGGGGATTCTACAGGCGGCGCAAGTGTGCAGGGCCGCGGGGGTGGCCTCCTGCCAGGCCCTATCTTGGGACCCGGTGCAAGCCGTGTTCACGTGAGTCAGGGCCTCGCGCGGAAGCCACGGAGGCAAAAGGCTGGGTGCTGCCTCTGCAGGTTGAGGTGGTTCCTCAGGGCCCCGCACCCTGCCCGGGACCCAGCCCGACCGTGGAGCTGGCCCGTGAAACGCCTGTCAGGAAGCAGGAGACGTGTGAGTAGGCCTCAGCCGGGCGAAGGCAGAGGAGGAAGGGTGTTAGTTTAGCGGTGCCTTTTGGGGAGGGTCTATCCTTCGGGGAACTTTAAATTTTGACAAGTTTTTGAATATGATGGTTGTCGTTGACTGTTAAAAGCTCTCCAGAGCCTACTTGGTTTTTCCTACATTTTTTCAGTTGTGGCGGGGTGGGTGGCTGTGTGTGATAAAGTGACTTTTTCAGGGTGTTGACTGTAATATAAAAAGATGGTTGTGTGAGCCGGCAGACGGAGCAAACAAGGTGTTGTCCCGGATGTTTGACTTTTCCTTGTGTGTGGGGGGGGCTCATGTTTAAATTATATAAAAGGTATTCAAAAGGTTGAAAAGGTGTGTGTTGTGGGCGCCTTGGGTGGCTCAGTTTGTTGTCTGCCTTTCAGGGTCGGGTCATGATGCCAGGGTGGGTTGTTGGGATTGTGAGCCCTGCATTGCCTGCCTCCCTGCTCAGGGGGAAGCCTGCTTCTCCCTCTTCCCACTCCCCCTGCTGCTGCTGCTTGTGTTACTGCTCTTGCTTTTTAGCTGTGGAAATCTTTAAAAATGAAAAGGTGTAGATTACCCGTCCCCAGGGGCTGAATTTAAGAAGAACCAGGTTCCACACTTGGGATCGTTATCCCATGGTGTTATCTCTGGCTCAGACCAGGAAGGGCGGCGGCCAGGGTGGGGGGGGGGGGTTTGAGGCACAGTCTGAGCCAGTCCTAATTATCTACAAATGTGGTGTGGTGGGTGGTGTGTTTTGGGGGAGATAATAGGTCTGTTTTTTTTACTTTTTAGTATTTCTTGCTTGTCCCGAATAAAGTGTGTGTTAAAATATACTATCTTTAGTAGCAATGTTAGACAAAGTTTGTTTGTATCCATAGGGGCAAGACAATCTAAACAATGACTCTACATGGGGGAAAAGGGGTCCTTCGAGGTTCTCATTTTATATTAACACGTTTGAGTTTTATTTGTGGTCAGCAGCATATAGGTAATACCATAATACCGTTTTAGGGTAGGGTGAGCAAAAATCATGGCATATCATAGAGTGCAATTTTTAGCCTTCAGCAATAAAAGCAATTATTTCCCTCCCATGAAGTGCAAAAAATAACTTTTATACATAGATTTATTACCATCTGTGGTTCGGTTATACTTATGTGCAGTTTTTACAGCCTGTTCATTAATCTCAATAAAGCTTTATTAAAAAAATCAAATAGAGGTCTTGGGTCCCCCCACTTTTTTTGCACCAAGGGTCCATCACCCTGCATCACTGAGACAATGTAATTTTGATCTGGGTGACAGCATCATGTCGCCATTTTCTGGACTGTGAAACTTTACGTTGGAGTGTTTATAAACTGAACCCACAGGCACAGTCACTGCAAGTGGATGCAAGTTCCTGTAGGTGTACTAATTCCTACAGTCCTGTTTCTGTACAAGTCACCTGGCCCCCCGCCATGTCATGTTATATAAGCCCACATGAAGGCACATGATTCCTTTGCAGTACTTGGGAACAACTTTTCTGCCCCCTAGTGCCCCACAGCATGTGGAGAGACAGAGAAAATACACTGTTTCTCGGGGCACTCTAGGAGGCTTGGGAAGGTAAACAGTACTTTGAAACCCCCCCCCTAAGCTTCATCAAAATGGGGTCAGAACCCTCATGAGGAAGAAGGGCTGTGTAACCTCCCCCATCATTCATAATGGTCAAGAGAGAGAAGGCTTTGGGGACTCTACCCCTGTGTGATGCCCTGTGTGATGTTTAATTAATATCCTAAGAGCTGGTTCCCTCCTAGTGAGTCTAGCTGACGAATGTGTTAGACCTTATAGAGGAAGGCTTTCCCATTGCATTCATGAGGTCATCTGGTGTGCAGTTTTCGGTGTTGAATGATGTGGGAGCTTTGGCTGAAGGATTTCCCACACTCCCCACACTCGTAAGGCTTTTCTCCTGTGTGGACTCTGCGGTGCTGGATGAGGTTGGACTTCTGGCTAAAGGATTTGTCACACTCATTGCACTTATAAGGTCTGGCTCCAGTGTGAATTCTCTGGTGTTGATTGAGAGTGGACCTGTGGCTAAAAGATTTCCCACATTCACCGCATTCGTAAGGCCTTTCTCCCGTGTGAATGCGCAGGTGCTGAACAAGTTTGCATTTGTAGCTGAAGGATTTTGCACATTCATTGCATTTGTAAGGCCTGGCTCCGCTGTGAATTTTCTGGTGTTGAATGAGGTTGGAGCTTTGGCTGAAGGAATTCCCACACTCCCCACACTTGTAAGGCTTTTCTCTCGTGTGAACTCTCTGATGTTTAATGAGAGTAGAGCTGTAGCTGAAGGCTTTCCCGCATTCGCCACACGCATAAGGCCTCACTCTAGTGTGAATCTGCAGGTGCTGGACAAGTCTGAATTTGAAGCTGAAGGCTTTTCCACATTCGCTGCATTTGTAAGGCCTTGCGCCAGTGTGAATTCTGTGGTGTTGAATGAGGTTGTAGCTTTGGCTAAAGGATTTCCCACATTCATTACACTCGTAAGTCCTTGGTCCTGGGTAAGCTCTCGGGCAATTAGTAAGGGTGGAGCTTTGGTTAAAAGGTTTGTCACAGTCATCCCAGTCCTGATAACTTTCTCTGGTGTGAATGTGCTGATGCTGGAAAAGTTTATATTCATAGCTGAATGCTTTGCCATAGTCGCTGCACTTGTGAGGACTTTCTCTACCTTGAAAGGACTCCTCAAGTTCCAAGCTGCTATGTGGGTTGGCCCCTTTGAGAGTGGCCTGATGTTGGAGAAGACTCAATATGGCCAGGAAGTCCTTCCCAATTTCCCCACAGGGGAAAGGCTTCCCTGACACATGCAGTTTGTAGCTTGTCAGAAGCTCCATGTCCCATCTGAATGGCTTCTCTTCATTGTGTTTCTGGTGCTGGTGAAGATCTGCACTGAACCACAGTCGTTTCCCACATGCCTCGCAGGTGTAGGATTTCTGCCCAGGATGTGATCCTTGGTCCTCAGCCACATACAAAATGTCTCTCCCAAGCAAGACACATTTCTCACAGGGCTGAGCTTTCCAAACGGATGAATCTGGACTTGGAGTCTTTCCCAGTGCCATCTTCTCCTCACTCTCCATTCCGTACCAACAACCTGAAAGCACAGAAATGCTGGTGTGAAATATGTTATCTTTGGTGGAAGGTGTCACAAATGTCTATTGTGCACAGTTGAATAAGGCCACTGGACTGGTTTTCAAAAAGGGGTGTGTTGGGGTCAGGTGGGTAAAAAGGGGCTGGAGTCCCGGAAATCTTAAAGTCACAAGACTTAGGGAGGCCTCACGAGATGACTGGGGGGTGGGTGTGTGCAGCACAGGGAGAAGCAGCGTCTCGAATTCACTCCTCTGCCCCTGGCCTGCAGGAGGGCTGGGAGTGCTGTGTGGAAGTTTAGGTCCAGGAACAGATGGTTGCAAGTGACGCTAGTCAAAGACTAAGGAGGTGTAAACTAACAGGAACAGGTGGAAGCAGTGCAAGGGGGGGGGAAAGGGAGAAAGAGGTGTGGGCACTTCCATCAACACTCTCACGGGCTGTCCTGGGAGAAGGGCCCTGGACTCCTCTAAAGCCCAGTTGAATGAACTGGGACTCAGGTGAGGCAATGACAAGACAGGTAGAGGGTGAGTGATGCTCCAGAGCAGTTCTATGCATGACAAAACCCAGAAAATACTCTAAGTAGACCCCACAGAACAGCCCCTCGGCCTCCATGCAACTGCTGGCCTCAGGTAAGAAGAAACATGAGCTTAGAAGGTGGGAGAAAACCTGGGCAGGTGCCATGGGTGTGGACAAGAGTGGCTGATGCTAATCCATCGGGCTTGGGGGGGGGCAGTTTGCAAAGTTGTACCTTGACAAGAGGGCAGTTGTTGAGCCCACTCCTAGTGATGGCAGTATCTGTGATGCAAATGTGAGAAAAAGAGCAGAGTCTAGCCGGGGGCGGGGGGTCTTACCCAGTGAGATCACAAGTGCAAAGTTCTCCAGCATCACATCATGGTACAGGCATCTCTGAGTCTCATCAAGGAGACCCCACTCTTCCCAGGAAAAGTACACAACCACGTCTTCAAAGGTCACACTACCCTGCCATGATTGGGGAGAGATGAAACCACAAACAGCCCTCCTCCATTAGGGCACCCACTCACCCTCCTCCCGGGCCACCCAGCCCCAGTGCCAGCAATCACTACGTCCCAGCCTCTGAACAAGAGGCACGGGGGGGCAGACAGAATCTTAGGTTCATGGCCAGGCGGCAAGGCCTCAACAGCCTCCCCAGTGCACCCACCAGGCACAACCGAAGATAGTCCCTAATACCAAGGGGCTGGGAGACATCAGCTCACACACCTCTTTTTATAGCTTTACGGTATCATGAGTGCTGGGCAAGTCAGACCCCACTGCGTTAGGGCAGCCTCAAGGACACTAGAGCCTCCATGAAAAACCCCACTAAAATTTAAAATCCAATATCCCTATATCCAGAGATGGGGAATTACTATTTAAACAGAACACCAGGCCGAGTACACTTATGTCTCCTCTGTCCCTTACCTGGTTTGAGAGACCACTTGCTGCCAGGAGCAGGTCTAGACTCAGTACCCATCCTCTTCTGCTGGGCCTCTTAATAATCTTCTCACCATCATCTGAATTTCCCTTCCTACATGTGACACAAAGTTCCACCTATGCGTCTAAGGCTGAACCCCACGTCAAACCTGTAGACTTTTGTATCCAGCTGCCTGCATATGGAGTACTTCCTGAAACATGTCAGGCTCTCTTGGTCACCCCTATCTCCTCCTGTTGTCTACCTTAACTACACTGAACTTAAACCCACCCAACACTTCCTCTTACTTCCAGGGCCACGATTTACATCTCCGTAGCTACAAAGCGCTGGTAAACACAAGATCCACGCCATCAGAAGGAAAGAACACGGGCATTTCCTTGATTACTCACAGTGCAGCCATGCTGGTACCCGTGCCCCATGACCACCTCATTTTGCTGACTTCTGCTAGACCTGCAAACATACTTCCATCCATATAAACCACCTCCAGCCATATAACTTCTAGTTTGATGTCATTCCAGTCCTGGACACCCTCCCCCTTACATGTAGGCTCCAAAAGTGCTTCATCAGTAGAGGTGGGGCTCAATGAGCTCCTATCTCCACTGTTCCCGATTGTCCCTCAGCCTGTGAGTCCAGACATTTCCCTGCTTACTGTGGAGACCAGGTTTTCCCCCAGCCTCAGAGCCAGGACACCGGGGCCTGGGCCGCAGGGATGCAAGCAGGCGTCCCGAGTGAGGACCTTGAGGGTCTTAGGCATTTACCTGAGCTGGGTCCCTGGGTGCGGCCGCCATCGGACTCTGTGGGAAGAGCAGGGCCGGGAGCAGTGCAATGCCGCGGGGATGCCTCCTCTCGTGACTCCCCAGTCGTCACCTCGTCCTGACCCTGTGCTCTGGAACCTCCAAACAGGAAACCGACCCCAGAGCTGCCAAAACGACTGCCAGAAGGACCCCGGAAGTCCTGCCCCGACGTGATGGCACACACGGAAACGCCCGTCTCTTGGACCTTCATTGGTCCACGCTGGTGTCACTCGGTGCACGGTCCTCTGGGCAATGACGTTCTTAGTGCTCCACAGGCCTCTGTGAAAGGTGCCACATATCAGAAACTCCTGGGCCACCGGGAAGCGTTGTGAGGGGGCTGTGCCCTGATTCCTGGGGAGTTGCCTGCAACTGATCACTTTTTAATGCTTAGCACACTCCCAAAGGTTTACAAATCCAAATGGATGTACCATTCCATAGAGTTACTCATAACAGTGTGTCTGACCTCGGGGGGGAAACTGGGAAGGATGTGACCTCATCTCCTACTGTTTTGTTTCTCTCAAGGTGCACTGCCCATTCCGTGCTTTTGTCCAGCATCAGAAAGCCATTGATTCTGGTATTTGGAGTATGAGGGGGACTACACTAGCCTTGAAGCCACGAAAGTGATTCAAAGCTTTCAAAACCAAATTCTCAAGGCAGAGCGGTCTCCAGACTGTGCAAATGGTAGTAAAGTTCCAAACCAAATTCCATGTCCTATTAGAGATTTACTGGAACCAGCTGTGCCTCCGTGGTTTACAGAGCTTTATGCAGAATGCACCGACCGTAAAAGGGACTCCCTTGCAAGGACTGAGAATACACAAGTACTCACTTCTGTAGAGGTAGTTCTATCTGTCTAGGAGGTTTGAACAGATGAAGATATAGATCCATTAAGGACAGTTTGAGCTACATACTCCTGAACTGAGGTGCCACAGAGCACATACCTAGTCTTATTTTGTCACAATGATTTGGTAATCTGCATGTAAAATTGAGGCACCTGGGAAGAAGCCCCCACAAGTGTGTGCATGAATAAGTGCATGAAGAATTTTTTTGGCTCTTAAATTAGAAAACACTCTAAAGCTCATAACTAACTCTCTTGTGGAACAATTTAGCAGGTTATTTCCAGGTAATGAAGCCCTAGTCAAAGGGCCATCTAGGACTGATAAAGGCTGTGGTATCTGCTCCACCTTCAGGTTTCCTTGTTTGCCTCAGACATGACCATAGTGAAATTATGCCTATTAATAACATTAGAACACAAGTGAAAGGAAGTGCCTTGTACACCTTTCACTTTAAATCAAGTGTAGCCCAGTTGTGAATGAAAAAAACACAAAAAGCCTCTGAAGGAAATAAATAAAAAGTTAAAAGTGCTACTCCAGTGAACACACAAATGATAAGAAAGCAAAACAGCCTTACTGCTGATAAGAGAGAAAGTGGTAGTGGTCTGCCGAGAAGATCGAAGTGGCCCCCAAGTTCCCTTAAGCCAAAACCTAATCCAGAGCAAGGCCCTTAACTGTCTCCAATTCTAGGAAGGCTGAGGTGAGGAACCCGGCAGAAGACAAGCTGAAAGTCAGCAGAGAGGCCGGTTCCTGTGCTGGTCTGGAATATTAGCTAAGACCAGTCGTGAAGGTGGCTACACAAAACCACAAATTTTCAAGGTAGGCAAGGTAGGCAAAGCAGCCTTCTACTGGAAGATGTCATCTTGCACTTTCAGAGCTAGAGATGTCAAGCCTGGCTTCAGAGGAAAGGCCCACTGTGTTGTTAGGGGTGCTCATTTATCATCCTGGACATCCTAGGATCCTTTAAAATTGAGCTAAAGCCACTCTGCCTGAGGTATAAATGGAACAACAAAGCCCAGATGACAACACATCTGTTTACATATACTATGGTTTACTGAATACTGAGACCCAAAGGCTCACTGTGACGATGTACATGGTCACCCAAGAGCTCTGATGGAGAGGCTAACACAACATCCATTCTGTAGCCCACGAATGAAGGAATAATTTTTGACTTTCAAGTCTTTGTAAGGCCAGAGAAGGGATTGAGGACTTCCATGGAAGAAATAACAATAGATGTGGGGTGGAAACTGCAAGAGAATTAGAAGTAAAGATGATGTGACTGAATAGCTATAAGGCACAATCTCATGCTAAAACTTGAATGGATGAGGGGGCGCCTTGGTGGCTCAAGTCATGATTCCAGGGTCCTATGATTAGGAAGCCTGCTTCTCCCTCCCCCACTCCCCCTGCCTGTGTTCTGTCTCTTGCTGTGTCTCTGTCAAAAAATAAAATCTTTAAAAGAAAAAAAAAAAACACTTGGGAATCTCTTCCTGGTGAAGATGCTGAAATGACCACTGACGAAGGTTTTGTGAAAGGAAGAGTCAACTGCTAGTAAACTTCACTGTCTTATTTTAAGAAATTGCCACAGCCACCCTGAGCCCCAAACAAAAAGATTACGACTCGCCAGAAGCTCAGATGAGGGTTAGTGTGCAAGAAAGGATCTTAATTAAGGTCTGAATATTGGTTGGTTGTTTTTTTTTTGACCTAATGTTTTCTGTATACTTAAAAGACTACAGTGTAAAAACCTAACATTATTATTATGTACGTACTGGGAAAACCAAAAAACTTCATTTAATTTGCTTTATTGCAGTAGTCTAGAACCAAATCTATGCCTGTAGTATTTGCCGGTGATGGGTCTAAAATGTTAGTGGCAGCACAGGCCTTGGAGCATCCATTATCTGACAAAAGCAAACACTTTTTAGAAAGGAGGAGTGTTGACCCTCCCTCAGAAGACAGAAAGTTGGAACTGAGATCAAACTACACAAACAAACCTCTTGTGTAAAGGGAAAGAGGTCCCTACCCAAGAAATGTGCTCTTTTCTCTATCATTCATAGCATTAAAAATGCTATTTAGACAATGAAGACATTTATTATTCATCACACTCCACAGGCATTGTCCCTTCACATAAAATAAATACATTGGGTATTAGTTTAAAATTCAAATCGGGGGGCGCCTGGGTGGCTCAGTTGGTTAAGTGACTGCCTTCGGCTCAGGTAATGATCCCGGAGTCCCAGGATCGAGTCCCACATCAGGCTCCCTGCTCAGCAGGGAGTCTGCTGCTCCCTCTGACCCTACCCCCTCTTGAGCTCTCTCTATCTCTCTCACTCTCAAATAAATTAAAAAAATAAAATAAAATAAAATTCAAATTGGCATTGGATTTCTACTGTCAAACTCCGAAAACCTGAAAAAGCCAAAATCATGATCTAATTCTCTCTGAATAATTGCTTACACAATGGCTCCTTTTGTATCCTACAACTGTTACTCAACACTGAATTCAAAATTCCCAGCAGATTAACTGGCACAGTTTATGAGACCAGAAATATTTTTTAAAGTGTTACTAAAGGGCGCCTGGGTGGCTCAGTCGTTAAGCGTCTGCCTTCGGCTCAGGTCATGATCTCAGGGTCCTGGGATCGAGTCCCACATCGGGCTCCTTGCTCCGCAGGAAGCCTGCTTCTCCCTCTCCCACTCCCCCTGCTTGTGTTCCTGCTCTAGCTGTCTCTCTCTCTGTCAAATAAATAAATAAAATCTTTAAAAAAAAAAAAAATAAAGTGTTACTAAATACTACATGATTGCATATTCTGGAAGGAACTTAGAGCCCAAAGACTATACGGAAAAAGTTTTCCTTGCCCCCTTGCCCCCAAAGCAGAACGGAGGAACACGTTTGTCACTGCTAATGAAGTACAAAGGGCGGAAATGTTGAGAAACGTGAAGACACAAGGGAAGGGAGCTGGTGGTGAGCCGAGAGTTCGGCTTCACAGAGTCATACATACTCACCAGGATCAGGATGGTGCATACGGCCCTCTCTCACTTCACAAGAAGAGAGTTACTGCAGAGAAGGTACTGGACTCCCCTGCTTGTGTCTGTAAAGAACAAAGACAAGGTGGAGTCAAGCCCAGACCATGAGGCTCTCAAGCACATTATATCAATACCCCCGATGCTGTAAATTTTTGATGCCTCCTAAGCTTCTCAATCTGTCTGCAACAGCCCAGGGAAAATGTATATACATTTCCCCCAATACTTAATGTTTCTGCTTCTCAACAAAACTGATATGAACTCGGAAGGATGAGGCATCTCCAAGGATCCCAACTCTAGTCTGTGTAAGAAAGACAATATTCCGTTTTAAGTTAGTTGAAACTACCTTATCAATTTAGACAGCATGCTAAAGGCTAACTTTAATGACGAAGTAGACTAGGTCATTATCATTATAGAAAATTTCTTTGTTCACATAAAGCAAACTGTTTCAATTTAATAATTTATATTATGTACCAATTCAACAATATTTGTAATATATAATAAATTATATACTGCATATATTAAATATAAATGAATAAATTGTATTTTAAATGGAAAATCGGTCTGTGTGGTTAATATACTGGATTTTTTAAAACTCAGAAGAATGGAATCTAATTAAGAGGGGAGGGAGAGAAAAGTGGAGTAGTAAACAAGATGAAATAAAATTCCTAAAAATAAAAAAATCATGAAGCTTATATTCACAAATCAATGTTCACGTATCTTTACTCACTATATAGCACAATAGTAGGAACAAACAAGTTTAGTAGGAAAAAATTTCATAAACCTACAGAGATGGAGAATGGATTAGTGCTTTTCAGAGGACAGGGAGGGGGGTGGAGTGCTAAGTTGGTATGAGGAAGCTTTTGCAGTCACAAAACCAGTTTTATATCTTGATTGCATTGGTGGTAATCTGAATCTCTATGTATGGGGAAGATTTTGTAACAGTACATACACATGTGCAAGTTAAAAATGGTGAAAACTGAGTAAGATCTATAGCTATCTAAGATGTCATCATTTTGGGAGGCTGAGTGAAGGGAACATGGGACTTCTATATTATTTATGCTGTGAATGTATACATATTTTAAAAAGCTAAAATATAAAAAAAAATAGAACTGTGTATCAAAGCCCAGGCCTTAATGAAAGAGAGAGAAGTTATTTTTTATTTTTAAATTTATTCATTTGAGTGAGTGCACAAGTGGGGGGGAGGGGCAGAGTGAGAGGAAGAAGCATTGACTTCCCCATGGAGCAGTCAGGACCCGGAGATCATGACCTAAACTGAAGGCAGACACTTAACCATCTCTACCACCCAGATACCCCAAGAGAAGTTAATTTTAAATTCAAGAACATAACTCCTATTAATCACCAAATAGAACTATTCCATCACTATGGCACCTGAAACTAATGTAACATTGTACTAATACACCACTGTGTGTTAACTGTACTTCAGTTTTGTTTTTATTATTTTTTTTATTTTATTTTTTTAAAGATTTTATTTATTTATTTGAGAGAGAGAGAGAATGAGAGATAGAAAGCACGAGAGGGAAGAGGGTCAGAGGGAGAAGCAGACTCCCCGCCGAGCAGGGAGCCCGATGCGGGACTTGATCCCGGGACTCCAGGATCATGACCTGAGCCGAAGGCAGTCGCTTAACCAACTGAGCCACCCAGGCGCCCTCAGTTTTGTTTTCAAAGAATGCACGCATGAAGTAGGACATTTAGATTTTTGGCCTGCCTCAGCAAGTGGAAAGATGGAGTTGGCATCGACTGAAATTGGGAAGGCTGGGGCCAGGGAAGGACTGGAAGGAAGCACAGGAGAAATTTTTGAACATGCAGGGGCTCTGTGATAGAGATACAGGTTTGGGAGGTTTTAAAATTAGGAATAAAAAAATGTCAATTGTGGTAAAAGCTTCCCAGAGGAACTTTAAACAAAATCTTAGAAGTCAGCATTAGATTTAGGAGTTGGCTAATAAACCAAACTTGAATGAGTAGAGAGCTACAAAGGAGTATCTCCTATGTTTCTCTCAATTGTGAGAGAAACAAAAATGTTCCTCAAAAATCAAAAATTTATCTTAACAGGGAGAGAATGGTAGAATAGGAAATATACTGGATCACTAAGGGAAAAGTATTTTTTTAAATTTTATTTATTCAATTGAGAGGGAGAAGCAGACTTCCCGCCGAGCAGGGAGCCCGATGCAGGGCTCGATCCCAGGACCCCGGCATCAGGACCTGAGCCAAAGGCAGACGCTTAACAACTGAGCCACCCAGTCGCCCCAAGGAAAAAAGTATTTTTAAAAGGATAATAGCGTTTATAGTGTTACTCTAAAAAGAGACTGAAAAAAGAAAGCACAGTAACAGAGAAGTTACCATCATGAGATCTGATAAAGAACCAGTCCCCAGAGAAGTTAAGACATGGGGGGCATGGTCCTTAGCTGGCATTAGTAACTGACCCTAAATCAGAGGGGAGGAATCAGTTCTATTTATACAAGTAGGTCCATAATAAGACTTAAACCGACTGGGACCCCTGGGTGGCTCCGTCAGTTGAGCGTCTGCCTCTGGCTCAGGTGATGATGATCCCAGGGTCCTGGGATCGAGTCCTGCACTGGGCTCCCTGCTCAGCAGGAAGACTGCTTCTCTCTCTGCTTGCTGTTCCCCTGCTTGTGTGCACTCTCTCTCTGACTAAAATAAAATAAAATAAGGTAAATGAATTGGATTTATGTAAGGAAGCAGAAAATGTTTTCAAATGATGACTTCTTTGTTCTTTGTGTTATGGGAGCAGAACATCAAGAGATAGAAGGGAGTAATACTAGGAAACTTAATGAATTGATAATTAGATTTCTTGAACCTGCCAGAAGTTTAGTGGATATACTGAGTCAAGGACTGCAATCAAGAGATGGAAAGAGGCTGCTAGAGCAGGGGATGTTTGTGCACAGGAGTTCGGGGGGAGTTTTAAGTGGTGGATCGTAATGACTGGGCTCCTTACCTCAGAGTACTGAAATATTTACAACTATTAGGACAGTTTAGGGGAATGGGGAATAGGTCCAACTAAATGAAGTCAAGGTTGAAGGTGGTGGCAGTAGTAAGACTAACAAGGAAATCACTATGTGGAGTCCTTCTAGTAAAGGGAACAGTGAAATCTTACAATAGGAATAATGTAGCCCTGGATTTTCTATCTCTCAAGAGCAGGGAATGTGTCTGAGACCCTAGCTGGTGGCTGCTCTCTTTAAGCCAGGATCGTGCAGTGGGGGTGACCGAGTCTGCTCCCCCGACAGCTGTGGCTTGGTGGCTGTGCTATATGGAGAGTGTGGGTTAGAAATATAAGTAGGAATGATGCCGCCTGTGGAAGCTGCAAACAGATGACAACACGCCACGGAGAGGACACCGTGTCCCTAAAAAAACCTGAAGTGTGGTTTGTGCACAAAGAAAAAAGGAAAGATTTCCAAAAGCCTTTAGCATTGTGGATGTCAGATCAGAGATTATACATTTGGGAAAGTTACTTCTGTTTCACAAATGTATTCTCCTTAAAACCAAACAGGACGGGTGCCTGGGTGGCTCAGTTGTTGAGCGTCTGTCTTCGGCTCAGGTCATGATCCCAGGATCCTGGGATGGAGCCCCGCATCGGGCTCCCTGCTCAGCGGGAAGCCTGCTTCTCCCTCTCCCACTCCCCCTGCTTGTGTTCCCTCTCTTGCTGTGTCTCTCTCTGTCCAATAAATAAAATCTTAAAAAAAAAAAAAAAAACCAATAGGACTACTTTGACATTGCCTGAGCACACTTCAGATCTCTCTGCCTGAGTTGCTTTGGGACCCAGGGGTCCTAATCGGTTTAAGTCTTATTATGGACCTACTTGTATCAAATAGCCACATGACAGGCTTGCTGCCAAGTCCTTTCATGACAGCCCTATTTAAAACAACAATAGCTGAAAAATGCACTCTTCTACAGTTCTACATGTTTTGACAGCATAATCAGAAATTCATAAATTTACAGAATAGCCCCATCTCCCCACAAGTCCTCCTACCCCTTTGTAGAAGATTGTTCTCCCTACCGCAGCCTTATGAAACTTACAATGTGATGTCTGTCCCTCAGGTTTTAGGCACATACTTTTCCAGACAGGTATCCCTACAAAATGTTGATGTGATTCCTCATGGATGTTCACATGTGCTATGTAGCAAGTGTGTCTGCTAGTGCAACCATTTGTATGTATGCATGTGTGCATAGTTCTGTGTGTATGTATGTGTTTGTGTATTTGTGGGTACGTAGGGAAGGGAAAGGGACAGGGAAGGGTATGGGTGAGTACTCCTAAAGCTGATCCAACTGTATATCCTAAAAGATTCGGTTATTCTGACTCAAAGTAGTGCATTTGCATAAATGCACCAAGGCCCCAGAATGTCTCCCAAGTCATTCACAAGTTTCTCCTAATAGCCTGAAGCTAAGTGGACACTTACCAGTATACCAGTATTGTGTGTGACTTCAGATCTTATCCTATTTTATCCTACCAGCAGTCAGCTAGGCGATAAATGCCCATTTCTTTTTATCCTTCTTTATTATAGAGAATAACCAGGATTGCAAAACATGCTCATAGTGCTTTCTAGTATACCCAGAGTTCCCTGACAGAGCATAGGAAACCCAGTTTAATATGAGTTTCAGATGAATAACAAAGAATTTTATAAGGTATATTGCATGGGACATACAGTAAAAAATTGTTTATCTGAAATTCACATTTAAGTGAGCATCCTGTATTTTTATTTTCTAAATCTGGCAACCCTAAGTAATCTGGTAATGCACTATTTCAACTGGGTATGATTTTAACATGTTAAACTGGCCTTTTTAGTTTCTTATTATTGCTTAAACAATACAAACTTATTATATTACAGTTCTGGAAGTCGGAGGTCCAAAATGGGTCTCGCTGGTGTCAGCACAGCTAACTTCCTTTCTGGAGGCTCTAGGAAAGAATTCATTCTTTTGCCTCCTTGAGAGGCCACCCACAGACCCGGGCTCATGGCCCCTTTCCACCTCAAAGCCAGCAATGGCCAGCTGAGTTGTCCTCACCCTGCGTCACTCAGACACTTTCCATTTT